GCCTGCGAAGGACCAACTCACTGGTGTCGGCGCAGATCGGCCTCACTTACTTCAATGTGTTGGGACCGCAGTGCTTCAGGAAGGCACATCCCATCGTCAAATGCGTGCGTCGTACTAGGTTAGTTACACTTTGTATTCAGACTTTTGTTTGTGGAATGAACTTGTATGGTTAGTATAGTGAGTACTCTCTGCCTCCGTTCAGCTTACTGAACTAATTAAGTTGGATACGAACAATGTACTGATGGGATTGTGTTAACGATGACGGCAGAGAAATCAGTGACTAAAAGTATGGGGAAAGGGCAAAGAGAATTAAATTTTGCTTTATAAATGGTTTTTCATTCAATATAAATATGAACAGGATAATACTTACGCTGTCAATACTTCAAAGCATTTTTTATGAATTGTAAAAATATATTTTTATTTATCTCAGGTCTAAAATCGATGACATTTTGAATCTCTCATAATGTGTTTCCAGAATAACTGGTCAGAAATGCGAAGAGTACGAGCTGGACTATACCAAGCCTAAGATGTGGCAGTGGTTTGATTCAGAGACCTTCTGATGCAGCAGACCTGTAGACCACTAGCAGACAACCAGCGGATTACTAGCAGGCTGCCAACGGCTGCAGACGTCGCAGATCGATTCATGTTGCAAATAATTGAACATCAAGGGAACATTCCTTGACGGAGGCGATTCGCCTTTTGTTTACTTAGAACTTGGAGTTATAAAGTTTACATTAAACTTAGCTTTATTATTAATCTATTTCTTAGAGCGCTGCGCACAGCGTGTCGTTTAGTCCTTTCTTAACAACTCTTCTAGACCAGAGATTGCCAAACTTTTTCCATGTAAACTAAAATTTTACTGGTTTCGGAGAACTTATTGTTGCTACATTTGTTCTTGAATTTGTGAAAGCGCAATTATATTTCCTGCTATATATCCGCCAAGATGTTGTATAAATCAAATAATTATGTGTTCAACGATTAACTTAAAAGGAATTGGTATATTTTAATCTTTGTATAGTTACTATAAGCTATATTTTTATATGTATATAAACGTTACACTTCTGTACTGTACATGTATGCGATTATGATATTTTATGAGTTTATAATCGAACTAGACATATTGTAATTTGTCAGCAAATTTTTAAAATTGATTGTAACAAATTATATAATGATATAATTTCTTTCCAAAATGTATATTTACAGATTCATAGATTAAACTAGCTATCGCCCGCGACTCCGTCCGCGCGGGATTAAAAATAGATGTTGGCTGATTCTCAGAGCTACTCAATATGCTCACAAAATTTCATGAGAATCGATGAAGCCGTTTCGGAAGAGTATGGGAACGAAAGTTGTGACACGAGAATTTTATATATAAGATTTACTTTAAGTCATTCTAATCATATATATAATAAGTCTACGTAAGTTAATTGTCTATTATATAATGTACATAATGTAATGTACATAAAAGAAAATAAAGTGCAATGAAAATATTTCTATTCATTTATATTTTATTACGTTCTATTTTCAAAACCAAAACAAATGAAGAAATTAATAAACATTTAAGGCTACAGTTGTTCAAGGTAATGACGTATCATCGTCACCTACTTGAGTCAGTTCACTGTTACATGAAGACCATCCGCAACGTCGTCCACAGTATGAGGCCTTCCGCGCACCACATACAAAGATTTCCCAATGCTGTTGTTCTCACTAAATCGAAAGAATGGTGACTAAAAAAACCTACTTATTCATCATCATCGCCTAACGATACATCCCTCTTAAGGGACTCGGAGCCTACCCAAGTCAGAGGTGACTAGGTCTATTTCTTTGAATTTCTTCGCAGATGCAAGTTGCATCACAATGTTTTCCTTCGCCGTTAGAACGTCGAATAAATGCATATATGTAAATTGAATAACACATTGGTACAATGCAGTATTCGAACTCAGGACGTGCAGTTACAAGTCAAGAACCTCTGAGTCAACGACGCTCTCCTATTATTACTTTCTTTAGACTTCGTATAAATCTGGCTGGTATAAGATTATAATAACTATAAAAATGAGTATTAATATCTAAATATTATCGTGAAGTCCACCGGACTGTAACAACCTTGGTGATCGCACGCATGACACTATGGAAACGAGAGTCGAGTCTGGGACAAAAACATTGCATCCTGTTACAAACAAACGTATCACGTCATCGCACAAAAACTTATGTTACTTGAGGAAAAATAACTGTACTGTTATAAATCTTTGTTGTATGCAACGAAAGCTTTTTTATAAGTAGCTTTTAATGTAGAGCTATTTTACAGATTTTTTTTTTGTTGCGATAGTAACAAGTGAAGACAAAAGTAAGAATAGATACATATATTGTGTGAAAGAGATTAGATATGACGTGTCAAAGAGATGGCACAGTAGTTCATACTATGCTGACATCTAGCGGTAAAAAGTCAAGATAAAGAGTAAAAAGTGTTTACTGTCTCGATTTTTTTAATTAATCTACATAAATAATAATTAAATTTAATATTTTAAGTAGGGCTAATATAAAAAAAATTGGCAACACGTAACATCGTAGTTCTGGAAGCAATGGGATCTTAGATTATACGAGAAGATCACCTACTTTTGTACAGTTTGATGACCTTGTAATTCAGCCTTGGTAACATTTTAATTTGCTTGATGTATAAACAAACAAATCACAGAGCGGTAAATGTTTTTGTAAATTTTCCTCAAGGGAAATACCTAATCACACAATATTACAATGCAAAGGTTTACTACGTAAATAGTCGAATAGATAGGTTAGTAGCTGTCACCCGTGGTAGATAAAAAAACTTAATTAGTGTAGCCTATGTGTTCTTTCAGACTATGTTCTACACGTATGCCAAATTTAATCGAGATCCGTTCAGCCGTTCTAGAGATATCTTCAAACACCCATCCATCCATCCACATCACATACATCTAAACATTCGCATTTATAATATTAGTAAGTTAAATAAAGAGCATTCAGGCATAAATTCGAAAAAAAAAGAATAAATAGTATCCTATGTCAGTCTCCTGGCTCTAAGCTACCTCATCAACAATTTTCAGGCATATCGGTAAAGCTGTTCTTGAGTTATAAATAGTGTAACTAACACGACTTTCTTTTATATATATAAAATATAAATCTTCCACTTTTTAACACTTATTTCTTGAAAATCTTAATATAAATTTAAGAAAGTCTAAACGATTTCTGTAGCTACAAAAGAAATTATGATAAGGAAACGTAACAAAAATATCATTTACAATTGTTTATGTTTTAAAGTTTTTTTATGAAGATGAGTTATAGATAGATCGTAACTTGTCTTAATAATTATGCAATATTGTATTCACAATATGACATCATGAACAATAATTTGTGTTAATAATGATCGGTAGTTAATTTAATTGCTTAGTTAATATCAATTTTAATAGAATCTTTACAAGTTTGTAAGTCGATTGGTTGCGGGAACAATAAGTTATAAAAAATCCAATTATTCTGCCGCCTAATTTTATGCAACAACATTAGTATTATCTTAATTAAGTAATTTCCAAGTGGAAAAGTTTATTTTGAGGTTTGTTCCGTTTTAATATTTACATATAAATATAAATTAGTTGTCGCCCGCGAAACCGTCCGCGTTGAATTAAAAAAAAACATGATTAGTAGCCTATATATTCTTCCAAGCTATGTTCTATATGCATGCCAAATTTCATCTATATCCTTTCAGCCTTTCTGGAGATACCTTCCAACAAACATCCATCCATACGTCCAAATATTCAAATATTAGTAAGAAGTAAGACTATAAACTTATATGGACCTTTGGCATCGATGTAGAACATGGTGTGGAAGACCACATATGCTACTAATTAAGTTTGTTATTAATTCCGCGCGGGCGGAGTCGCGGCCGACAACTAGTGTACTATTATGTATGAAAAATGTTACTACATGATGTTAATATAGTACGACATGATTGTTGATATCGCGGTCAGTTCTGTCAGACAATATGTCAAATCTACTCAGGCATAGAAAATGACAAAGACTAAACGTAACAAAACAGCTTAGGTAAATGAAGGATCTTGTGACTTTTTAGCATGAAAATGGGTTAAAAATAACCTAATGTAATTAGTAATAAAATAATTTTGTGTCACACCCTGGGTGAGACAAGAACGGCACCAGTCAATGATCTAGGCTAGATCTAAAGGTGGGGGAATGGGCAGGTAAAGACTGATAAGGAGTTTTAGAAGTTGTGGATCTGTAGGGATTGTAAGTATAAGCAAAAAACCGTTAAAAAGTGTGTAATTTTATATTATTTAAAATGTTACTTATGGCGAGTTGTTAATTACAAATAAGTATGTATTATATTCATCATCATCATCAGCTCACTATACGTCCCCACCGAGGGGCTCAGAGCCTCTTTTTTTTTTTTTTTATAGTCAGGAAATGCATTTACGCACGCCTACGCCGGGCGGTGCAATGGCGTAGGGAGTGTGGGACTCGCCGGCCACAGAAGGTGACCAGAATACCCACTAAAAAACGCTCAGAGCCTACCCTATGTTAATGGTGATTAGGCCATAGCCAACCACGCTATCCAAGTACGGGTCGGTTGACTTCACACATATCTTTGAATTTCTTTTCAGATATGTGCAGCATTACTATGTTTTCCTTCACCGTAATCATGATGAAATGATGTATTATATTATAAGGTTTTAATTATTATTTAACGCCGATGTTACATTTGTCACAAAGTCTAATGAAACGTTAATTTATATATCTAATTCATATTATATAAGTATAATATTGTTTATTTTAACACGAGGCGAGTAAGAGATCCAAGTGATATTTAAATAAGATTTAAACTTTCCTTAATAACAGTATTCTAACATATTTAACTTACAATCTTGTTTTATCAGACGGATGCTTCTAAAAGCGTAATAATTTTCATATTTCTTAATAAATATACTTACATATAAAATTGTTTACACATAAAACGTGTAACAACATAATTAACACGTAATTTATTAATAATTTTAATTAAATTGTACTCAATACTATAGTAATCACTAGGAAACACGATAATTATCAGTCTTGTTTTGGTACGCACTTTCCTAGCACTTTCGCTTGACCTGTAGCACACTTGTCCCCGTTAAATGCAACTCTATCGTCAAGTTCAAATCCTACTGGTGTCGTCTCTTGGATTTCTTTTACACTTTTAGTATTATTACGTGTATTTGATACTTTAGTAACATTAGTAACTTTGTCCGAAGTTCTAGTCCTGTCTGAATACGACTCAGTAGTGTATTGTTCCTTCGTACTTCCGTGTATTTCCGGTAATTTTGAAGGACTTGTTACTTTCCTTATAGGTACTGTGTTAACATTTATTTTGTATTTAGTATTGTTCTGTGTTCTTTTATTCGTGAACGGTTGTCTCTGATCATCTATGTTATCTTTGAATATTATAATGTCAGGATCTATTTCTTCGTCTAATCTTTTAATATACTTCACGTTATTATTGTATTGATGTCGATTTATATTTGTAAATACTGGTCCATTTGTAGCATATTTTTTAATACTTTGATTCAATTCTTGGTTTGAATTACCATGCTCTTGTCTTTGGTTGTGATTTTCTTGTGTTTGTTGATTCGTTGCTTCACTTTGATATTCATAGTTTGATATTGTTTCCCGATCTTCATTTGGATCAAATACATTTTTATATTCATCACTGTAAGAAGGTTTACTTTCTATGTATCTGTAACTTGTGGTCACTTGATGAACATTACGAGTGGAAACGATCGCGAATGATGTAAACAGGAGTAGACTCGAGAGTGACATTGTGACGTGTGACCGCGGATGATGGTAAAACCGGACTGCTGATTCTCATCATATTAGCCTAGTCAAACGTGTCTGACATTACGCTACAGTGGCAAAGATAAACAATGTAGAAAGGTTAATTGGTCGTGAATTCTTGATCTAATGTAAATAAAGACAGAGTAAACATAAAATTTCTT